TTGAACAAGTGGTTCAGTGTTTTAGTGTCCAGGTACATTGAACAAGTGGTTCAGTGTTTTAGTGTCCAGGTACATTGAACAAGTGGTTCAGTGTTTTAGTGTTCAGGTACATTGAACAAGTGGTTCAGTGTTTTAGTGTCCAGGTACTCACCTAGAAATGTTTGGCAAAAAGAAATATAGAAAGTTCCTCGGAAGAAGCAGAACCACTACAAAGAGGAATACATTGAAATGTCCATAATATTCATAAGTTTTTAGACAAATATTTATGTTTTTAAAATGACAGATTTTACAAATATCAGTAACCGAAAACAAAAGGAACGCCTATGGTCTCCAGAAACTTATTACGAATATCAGTAACCGAAAACAAAAGGAACGCTTTATGGTCTCCAGAAACGTATTTTTTGTTTTCGGTTACTGATATTTGTGAAACGCCTATGGTTTAATACAGCAATGTTTATGTGTTCTGAGTATACTTCATTTGCAGTTAGTAGTGAGATTGACGAAAGAATTTATTTTCAATTAATTGCTTAAAAACGTTCTGTATGGACAATGTAAAAAGACATTATTATAATAACACTATAATTGAGTCAAGCTTTCATTAAAATTTTATAAATAAGATTAGAAACTATTCCGCAACCGTTACTAAGGAACCGCCTATATAAACACGTGCTTTCCCTATGTCGCAATTTCCGGAATTGGTTCTTCCTTTTCCTTCTAAATAACACTGAATGACCAGTGGGAAGATGATGTTAAAACGTCTTCTGTTATCTCACTACTGAGACTGGTTGTACTTCCGGAACTGGTGGTTTTTTCTTTCTTCTAAATAACACTGAATGACCAGTGGGAAGATGATGTTAAAACGTCTTCTGTTATCTCACTACAGAAACTGAATGTTTTTTGCTACTTCTTGTTTATCAGTTAAATGTTTCTTGCTACTTCGTGTTTATCAGTTAAATGTTTCTTGCTACTTCTTGTTTATCAGTTAAATGTTTCTTGTTACTTCTTGTTTATCAGTTAAATGTTTCTTGTTACTTCTTGTTTATCAGTTAAATGTTTCTTGCTACTTCTTGTTTATCAGTTAAATGTTTCTTGTTACTTCTTGTTTATCAGTTAAATGTTTCTTGCTACTTCTTGTTTATCAGTTAAATGTTTCTTGCTACTTCTTGTTTATCAGTTAAGTGTTTTTTGCTATTTCGTGTTTATAAGTTTACTTATGTTTATTGATGTTTCATGTTAACAAATATTTATGTTTATTGATGTTTCATGTTTAACTGGTATCTATATTTATTGATATTTCATGTTAATTAGTACATTTGTTTGCTCTATTTTCTGATTTTTATATCTGTTAAATTTAAAGTTTGAAGAGCATAACATACGTTACAATTGTAAAATGTTAACGGTTGGAAACACGAAGTGCAGACAGGTGTTTTTCATTTGACAGACGACTGAAAGGGCGAAGCGGGAATTCTATCTACTTGTGATGAGATGACTTATCTATGAAAGCACTCGATTATCTCCCGAGTAGGCGAGGTGGCGCGCTTTTATTTCCTGTTCGATTTTATTTGTTTTGAACAGTGATAAGATTGAAAGAGATTTTAAAATCAAGAGGGATGCAACATTCACTGACGTAGAAAAACAAATTCAGTAAATCTATGTAGGAACATTGTTATAATGTAAGACATTAATCTGTCAATACGACGAATTTCAAACGGTTTGGCATTATTGAATTTTTCATAGTGCCATATTTTTACAGTTGACCCGTGAAAGAAAGTTTAAGAGTCAAAACAAGACTTGATGATCATGACGATCGTATTCTTTCGGCAAACACCTATCGGAGAAAATGATCAGCAACAAACCTGCCAAAAATTCCCAGATCCAAGGTAAAATGAATATATTTATTGATTATTATTAGCATACTATATGATCTAAAACCCTCTCAGGGTTATTATCAGGCTCTATGATGTAATACCTTCTCACGATTATTAGCATACTTTCTGATCTAAAACCCTCTCAGGGCTATTATCAGGCTCTATGATGTAATACCTTTTCATGATTATTAGCATACTTTCTGATCTAAAACCCTCTCAGGGCTATTATCAGGCTGTATGATGTAATACCTTTTCACGATTATTAGCGTGCTAAATGATCTAAAAAGATTTCATAATTATTAGCACGCTATGATGTAACATCTTTTCATGATTATTAGCATGCTATGATGTAAAAAATGTTCATTATTATTAGCATGGTATGATGAAAAAATGTTGATGATTATTAGCATTTATGATGTAAATATTTCATGATTATTAGCATGCTATGATGCAACATTTTTTCATGATTATTAGCATGCTATGATGCAACATTTTTTCATGATTATTAGCATGCTATGATGTAACATTTTTTCATGATTATTAGCATGCTATGATGTAACATTTTTTCATGATTATTAGCTCCCTATGATGTAAAATTTTTTCGTGATTATTAGCATGCTATGATGAAAAAATGTTGATGATTAGCATGCTATGATGTAAATTTTTCATGATTATTAGCACGCTATGATGTAACATTTGTTCATGATTATTAGCACGCTATGATGTAACATTTTTTCATGATTATTAGCACGCTATGGTGTAACATTTTTTCATGATTATTAGCACGCTATGATGTAACATTTTTTCATGATTATTAGCACGCTATGGTGTAACATTTTTTCATGATTATTAGCACGCTATGTGTAACATTTTTTCATGATTATTAGCATGCTATGATGTAGAAATTTCTCAGAATCGAGATGATTACTTGTAAGAGGATGAAATAAAAATAAATTTAGATAATTTATTTTAAGTTGAGTGGAAATTTAACTGGAAGTTACTGTTAATATTGGAGATAAGATAACAGCAGATACTGAAATCAAGAAGGAAAGATGGCGACGTAATTTCATTCGACATGATTAATTAATTTGAGACATTTAAAAAAACCTACCATTCGCGAAAAATCCACTTTTACTCATTACGTAATGGTAGTATTGCTCCGGTAGAAACGTTTGTTTACGAAGAATTTGAGGTGATATGTATATTCATATTAAAAGACAGAACGTTTCGGTATTTTACTAAGGTGCAGCGAATAATGCCCATGTAATTTTGACAAGATGTAGAAGGGCTAAGAAAATGTTTTACGAAAGGTTTAAACTTCTTGTGGAATGTTCATCCATCACTGGACACATAACAGGGCCTTGCAGAGAAGCGAAGGGATGCCTCCTAGCGTCGAAAGCAGGAAATTATTATTAAACCTAAAAATTACTTTTTAACTCGGTATATCACAACTTCTCGGAGTACAGGGTGACCCATAATGAATACGGCACTTATTTTAATTTAGCATGTCTTGTAGGCATACATAACGTAAATAATACGCGTGCGCTTAAGTGTTCTGTAAAACTAACGAGGTGAGTGTTTAGAAAAATAAACACGTGATTTACTTTAAAACTTAGTTAATTCTCCACAAAATGGCTGTTTCTGTGGAACAAGAGGGTTGGCTTGGTTTATATCTCACAAACATTGTTGCTTTACGACCTACATGCGTCGGAAAACATGTTTGTTTGTAGAAGTTCGCGCAAATCTATTCCCTAATTTAGAAGTGATTAACTAGTGTAAAAACAGCAAGTCAACACCCCCAACTCCCAGCTATTGGGCTACACATTTATCACGAATAATGGGCTTGACCGTCACATTCTAACTTCCTCACGGCTGAAAGAGCGAGCATGTTCGATGACGGGATTCGAGCCCGCGACCTGCAGATTCCCAGTCGAGTGCCCTAATTACCAGGTCAGGTCAAGTAGGTTAAAATGAACTAAGTTTTGTTCTTACATTCAAAAGCACATAATTATGAGAATGTTTGGTATTAAAAGGCGTTGTTATTGGTTCTTTAGGTTTATTAATGTTTTATCTCAGCTAATAATTAGCAGATACATTAATTGATGAAGAAGGTTTATTGCTTGACTGTCTCTCTGAACAAAGCTGTTGAAAGGCCGGTTTCGAACGTTGTTCAACACGAGATAAAGTAACTCTCAAAGCTACTCTTTAGTCTTGAGTTTCATTGGCAATCAATAAATCACATTTTAAGCCGTCTCTCATATGAAGCGTGTGGCAGTCAATTATCACTACGACGCATGTGTTTTATATTTCGCGTGCCTATTACGTGCCCCCCCCCCCAGTGGCACAGAGGTATGCCTGCGGACTTACAACGCTAGTATCCGGGTTTCAATACCCGTAGTGGGCAGAGCACAGATAGCCCTCTGTGTAGATTTGTGCTTAATAATAAACAACAACAACAACAACTATTACGTGTTACTATCTACAAGAGTGTGTATTACTAAAGCAACATCTAGGGTTATCGACGGCTCACAAAAAACGTTAAATGTACGTTTTGATCGTGGAAGATTATCGCAAGAATTTTCATCAGCAGCGAAACGTCTAACTGAAACAGAACAAAACTTCGAAGGACGATAAGAGCCTGCATAAATGAAGAAGTTAAGATGAAAATCTCATTATATATACATTAAGGAACTGTTGCTGTTAAATTAACAGTTGAAGTCATTAAGGAACTGTTGCTGTTAAATTAACAGTTGAAGTCATTAAGGAACTGTTGCTGTTAACAGTTCCTTAATGACTTCAACTGTTAATTTTTAATTTAACAGTCAGTTGAAGTCTAAGGTTTAGGATGGCTTTTGGGAAGCAATTTTGGAGTGGTCAGGCCATTTCCACAGCTAAGCAACGTGACACATGGTGTGTGCAAAGTGCTATTTCTAGGGGGGGGGGTCTAGAGACATGACTCCCAGAATATTTGTGAAAATTTGTTGCTATGAAATTGAATATTGAACCGTTTTAACTAAAAATATTGCATACACACACAACGTAATGTATTGAATTTAAAGAAGCATGTTTTTAAGACATAAGTTACAGCTGTACGTGCCACGAAAAAGAGGTCAGACCATGACTTGACTGGCCTTAACGCTTTGTACGGCCCTGCTCATAGAGAAATACAATATCAACCCTAGTGGTCAGACCGGTGCTTAAAATGGCAAAAGGAAGAGTTCTTACACTCCTAAAAAAAAGTAAATGGGGCAAAAAAAAGTGTCGGTAGGCTCTAAGGTAAATATTTCTTGCTATGATAAGAAGCGCCGGTACACAACTCTTTGGAATAAAGAAGTAACGACTCATTTCATGCACTGGATGAGACATAAGTCAAAATACTAATCTATGAAACTTTGAAGTAAAATAACACTTGTAAGGAACCTTAAGTTTCGCTATTTTAACCTGAATCTTGAAAAAAAAATTGATATAAACAGCAGTGGACTTATTGATGTTCAAGAAGTTTTGAGAGATATGGGCCGGGCGAGGTATACACAGGATGGCGTGCTTGGACTATGAATCCGAGGATTCTGATTCGAGTCCCGTGACCCCAAAAATCATTTCGCCTACTGAGAGGGCTGTGGGTGCGCTATAAGAGTGACGGTCAAATCCCACTATTCACCCAAACAAGAGTATTATAAAAGTTAGTAGTTGTTGACCGGCTGCCTTTCTTCTAGTCTATGCACAGATAGCCCTTTATATAACAAAATCAAATAGATAAACTCAGAGCCAATTTCAAATTAAACATTTCATTAATTTGATGAAGGAGGATATCAAACAGATTTCTGTCACCAGAAGAACACCCTAAATAAGATATATATAATACATTTTGTAGATACGCCAGATAAGTCGAGGTCAATAGAAGATTAACGTCCTCTACAGAGTGACGTCACAACGAGAATTTGTGCTTATATTTAATCTCTTTTATCGTTTCAGGATCAAGTCCTACAATGCCTGAAGAAAACAACAGGAGTAAAATCAAGACACTTGAAAGATGTTGCTACCTTCGGTTGTATCAGTGACTTCTTCTGCATATCTTAGTGAATCGTTTCGGAGCCTCAGTTTTTGGGACACGACAACAATCAAAAGATCTGGTTTGATAACTGATTATTTTCAAGATGTGTTCAAATTTAAGACTAGCGCAAACATAAACTTCTTCAGTAATATCTCAGAGACATCCGAGTCAAACTTCACTTCAGCCAATGAGCTTCTACTTTTCTCGAATTCTAGCAACGAGACAAATTTACCGGTACCTAATCCATCACCATTTAGTCTGTGGTTAACTATATTTATTGCTGTTGCTATCGGACTTTGTATCATCTTGACCGTAGGTGGAAACGTACTTGTGCTTCTGGCGTTTGTACTTGAGCGAACTATTCGCCAGCCTAGCAACTACTTTATCGTCTCCTTGGCTATTTCCGATCTTCTCATCGGTACAGTGTCCATGCCTTTTTATGCTGTGTACGTTCTTGTTGGACGCTGGGACCTAGGACCCATCCCCTGTGACTTGTGGCTAGCTACTGACCACACCGTGTGTTTGGTGTCCATCTACACCGTCCTTTTAATTACTGTTGACCGCTATTGCTCTGTAAAGATTGCAGCGAAGTATCGCGGCTGGCGAACCAGAGAAAAAGTCATGTGGATGGTAGCTATAACTTGGATTATTCCGTTTCTCGTATTTTTCATTAGTATTATGGGATGGGCATATTTTATTGGCTACAGAGACCTCGCGCCTGGAGAATGCGCTGTACAGTTTTTAAAAGATCCAGTTTTCAATACGTCTCTGATAATTGGATACTTCTACGTAACTATGGTCATCCTGTTCGTGCTCTACACAGGAATATATAAGACAGCTAGCGACATGCAGAAGAAGTCTGCAGCCAAGCAGAAGAGGATACAATCACTAATTGCAATGACTAATCTTTCAAAAGGGGACACAACTTGTGTGAACACTTCTAAATCACAGAACGTCCTCCCGCATCAGGACAATACTACAAAGGTTAACAACAATATTGAGCAGCATGAAGACGGAGAGTGTTTATTAGGTACAGATAAATCGAAGGCGTGTGATGTAGATCAAGAAGATTACTGCAGTAGCCCAGCATTTGACTCTGACGACGACAGCAGCCACAGATCAGCCAAACCTTCTAAACAACTCCGATATAAAAAACGCAAGACGAAACATCGGCCTAAACTTGAGCGACAGCCAAATAAGGGCAGCGACAGTAACATAAGAATTGAGGCAAGAGCTATGGACAAAACAGGCTTAATACTTAACCTTCCAGCTCCAATTTATAAGCCTAAAAATGGTACCGAACGTAAGATTGGTGAGGAACAATCTACTCCAGAGACACCTGACGGAAACTTTGAGAAAACGGAAGCTACCAAACAACAGTCGCCTAATTCAATTGAAATAAAAACTTTTAAAGAATATGGGGATTTATCTACGGAAGTATGTAACAGAAAACCGTTTACGAACGACAAGGCAGTTATCACTGATCCTGTACTGTTTCTAAATGAAGCTTTAAACCTCTCCTTTAGGAAAAAGAACACATTACAAGTGGAAAGAGTTTCTGAAACTCAAACTATCACACGTATTGCTAGGAATGAGGAGCTTCAACCAATCATCAACTACTACCAGGAGAACACTACTTCTAATTCTCCAATCAAAAATTACTCCACACTTAGCACCAAAAGAGCTTTCGTCAAGACACTGGGAAGGAAAATGAAGTCAAAAAAGAAATCGTCTGAAAAAAGACGACAATCAAAATCCGAAAACAGGGCAAGAAAAGCACTTCGAACCATTTCCTTTATTCTGGGGGCATTTGTTCTTTGTTGGACTCCTTACCACATCTGCGCTTTGGTTGAAGGGTTTTGTAGAAATCCAGATGGCTGTGTAAATTATCACTTGTTCTATTTGACATATTTTTTGTGCTACGCAAACAGCCCCATCAACCCATTCTGTTACGCCATGGCCAATCAGCAGTTTAAGAAAGCGTTTTATCGTATCCTCAACGGAGACTTCCACAGGACGTAGTTTACAAGACGCAGTTTACACGACGTAGTTTACAGGACACGGTTTACAAGATATACATAGTTTACAGGGTGCGGTTTACAGGATGTAGTTTACAAGACGCAGTTTACACGACGTAGTTTACAGGACACGGTTTACAAGATGTACATAGTTTACAGGGTGCGGTTTACAGGATGTAGGTTACAGGACGTAGTTTACAGGATGTAGTTTACAAGACGCAGTTTACACGACGCAATTTACAGGACACGGTTTACAAGATATAGTTTACAGGGTGCGGTTTACAAAATGTAGGTTACAGGACGTAGTTTACAAGATGTAGTTTACAGGGCGCGGTTTACAAGATGTAGGTTACAGGACGTAGTTTACAGGACACGGTTTACAAGATATAGTTTACAGGGAGTGGTTTACAAGATGTAGGTTACAGGACGTAGTTTACAAGATGTAGTTTACAGGACACGGCTTACAAGATGTAGGTTACAGGACACGGCTTACAAGATGTAGGTTACAGGACGTAGTTTACAAGATGTAGGTTACAGGACATGGCTTACAAGATGTAGGTTACAGGACACGGCTTACAAGATGTAGGTTACAGGACGTAGTTTACAAGATGTAGTTTACAGGATTTATTTTATCCTATGTGTAATATTGATCATTCAGTTAGCCCTAATACTATACGCCTTTCATTTTACGTTGTTACAATACAACGAGATCCTTTGTTGATGAACAATCATACTCGAGGAAAAACTAATTTGTGTTAACTTTACTAATCATCAAACGAAACAGCTTTCAATGACAAAACATCAATAAATATACTATTTTGATGTTCCAACGTCCTCAGTGGGAATTACCGGTACAGTGCAAAACCCGATAAAAATATTACAACTTCCAAGTGTGTTTTCTCTAATGAACGCACGAAAGCGCTATTCAAAGTTCTTTTGGTTCACGAGTCAGTATTTGTTTTTAGTCAACAATCTTGAAAGTAAGAATATATATATATAGTTAAAAAGAAACGCCAATAGACAGCTCCTATAATGTCCGAAATGTTAAAAGAAGTTTGTTCCCACGAGGATTCGGAGAGTGACATTCAGAAACTGGTTGAAAGCAATCTTCTTGTGAAGTCCGTTCCCATGAGGATTCGGAGAGTGACTTTCAGAAACTTGTTGAAAGTAATCTTCTTGTGAAGTCTGTTCCCATGAGGATTCGGAGCGTGACTTTCAGAAACTGGTTGAAAGCAACCTTCTTGTGAAGTCTGTTCCCACAAGGATTCGGAGGGTGACTTTAGAAACTGGTTGAAAGTAATCTTCTTGTGAAGCCTGTTCCCATGAGGATTCGGAGAGTGACTTTCAGAAACTTGTTGAAAGTAATCTTCTTGTGAAGTCTGTTCCCATGAGGATTCGGAGGGTGACTTTAGAAACTGGTTGAAAGCAATCTTCTTGTGAAGTCCGTTCCAATGAGGATTCGGAGGGTGACTTTAGAAACTGGTTGAAAGCAATCTTCTTCTGAAGTTTGTTCCCATGAGGATTCGGAGAGTGACCTTAGAAACTGGTTGAAAGCAATCTTCTTGTGAAGTCTGTTCCCATGAGGATTCGGAGAGTGACTTTAGAAACTGGTTGAAAGCAATCTTCTTGTGAAGTCTGTTCCCATGAGGATTCGGAGAGTGACTTTAGAAACTAGTTGAAAGCAATCTTCTTGTGTCAGGTATTTCTCATTTCCATGATCAGTTTTGTTACTTTACTTCAACTGAAATCGTCGGTATGGTTTTTTAAATCAGTAAACTGTTATCATATAGACAGAAGAACTGAACAGAACCGATAACTTTTCAGTATCAAGAATCCCAAACTCTTCGTCACGATTAAAGCTACACAGAAACATCTAGATAGGACATCATACCAAACTAACGTGTAAAGAATAGAGAGTACTCCAACGTTTATATTCTTGACGGAATAAATGCGTTGCTTGTATAAAGAAGTAGACGAAAATATTGCAACGCAAACAACGCTTATTTGTGGATTAGAAGACAATATCGTATTAGTTGATCTTTTAATGAATTTATGAGCGTTAATTTATGAAATATTCCGACACTTAACTATTAGGGTTCAGTAGTTATGTGTGCACTGAAAGTAATCCGAAGAATATGGTTGATTTGTGGTTGAAACAGAAGAGTTATAAATGATGTCCCTTTTCTAAATTGTACATAAATATATATTTAAATGTCTTACGTGATAATTTGATCAGAAATCAATGTTTCTACGAAATTAGGTAAGACTGTTTGTCCCAGAGCAAAGCCACGTTGGGCTACCTGCTGCGTCCACCTCAGGTAATCGAACCCCAGATTTTAGCGTTGTAAAACTGAGTTCGGTAGTTTAGAGTAACGTTTCGGTTTTTGTGTTGTCGATAGCAGGTTTTTATCGCTTTAACGTGATGACTTTCTGTGTTGACGAATGTGCAAGTGTTACGTTAACACATTTTGTGATTATTCTAATGTTGTGTGTTTTTTAATAGAAATGTTTAACTTGGGATGGAATTAGCTGTGTGTAAGAATATTGGAATGTCTTGAAAATTAGCAGCAACATTTACCTTGGTGTTCAAATCATAAAGTGAAGCGTTAATCGAACCCCAGATTTTAGCGTTGTAAAACTGAAGCGTTAAGTTACCAGTAAAGTGAAGTTGGTCGTGGATCGCGTCTCGCTAACAAATTATAGTGAGGGGGTTAAATTTTTAACACTTTAGTTTGATGTCGATAACAACAAACTCGGATACATCTCTAACTTTAAACAGATATATGTGTGTGTGTGTGTGCGGATTATTTGAATTCAAAATTTTTAATAAGCATTACCTTTTATTTGCGTTTGTATTTTACGGATTATGTAAAAAAAGCTGTGAGGGCTGAGACCCACAGCCCCATATCTAGTTACGCACATTGTCTCTTTATAGAAGCAAAGGTATAACTGCATTAGTATGTGTGTGTGTGTGTGTGTGTGTGTGTGTGTGTGTGTGTTTGTCATAATACATGTTTTTGTCGTTCCATCTGAAAAGACTAGCATACAGTACGGAGAAAAGGAATCACTGTTCACACCGTATCGCAGGAATCTCACACACTATTCACACCGTATCGCAGGAATATCACACACTGTTCACACCGTATATATCGCAGGAATCTCACATACTATTGACACCGTATTACAGGAATCTCACATACTATTGACACCGTATTACAGGAATCTCACACACTGTTTACACCGTATCGCTGGAATCTCACACACTGTTTATACCGTATCGCTAGAATCTCACACACTGTTCACACCGTATCGCAGGAATCTCACACACTGTTCACACCGTATCGCAGGAATTTCACACACTGCTCACACCGTATCGCTGGAATCTCACACACTGTTCACACCGTATCGCAGGAATCTCACACACTGCTCACACCGTATCGCTGGAATCTCACACACTGTTCACACCGTATTACAGGAATCTCACACACTGTTCACACCGTATTGCAGGAATCTCACACACTGTTCACACCGTATTGCAGAAATCTTATTGCAGGAGCCTTATGAGATGTTGTTGGCAAGAAAATTATGATTATGTTTTCTGCTTCTTCTGTTCACACAAGCATATGTTCACACACCATATGTTCACACAAGCATTTGTTCACACACCAAGTATTGTTAAACTATTCTGTAAAAGTTTGGGATATTTTCTTATTAATTGTAATTATTATCATGGTTGGTTTGTTGTTAAGCGCAAAGCTACACAAAGTGTTATCTGTGCTCTGCCCACCACGGGTATCGAAACCCGGTTTTTAGCGTTGTAAGCACTCAGACTTACCACTTAGCCACTGGGGCATATTTTTCTATAAACATTGAACATATGTATTTATTAATCTGCTACGATATAACTTTTTGTTTGAAGTTAAGCACAAAGTTACACAATGGGCTATCTGTGTTACAGATATTAAATAATGATGTGACAAAGACTTACAGATATTAAATAATGATGTAACAAAGACTTACAGATATTAAATAATGATGTGACAAAGACTTACAGATATTAAATAATGGTGTGACAAAGACTTACAGATATTAAATAATGATGTAACAAAGACTTACAGGTACTAAATAATGATGTGACAAAGACTTACAGGTACTAAATAATGATGTGACAAAGACTTACGGATACTAAATAATGATGCGACAAAGACTTACAGATATTAATATGATGTAACAAAGACTTACAGATATTAAATAATGATGTGACAAAGACTTACAGGTACTAAATAATGATGTGACAAAGACTTACAGATATTAAATAATGATGTAACAAATATTTATAGATACTAAAATAATGATGTGACAAAGATATACAGATACTAAGTGATGTTGCCAGAGAGATTTACAGATAGTAAGTGATGATGCTAGAGAGATTTACAGATACTAAGTGATGATGTAAAATATTTACAGATACTAGGTGATGATGCTAGAGAGATTTACAGATACTAAGTGATGATGTAAAATATTTACAGATACTAGTTGATGATGCTAGAGAGATTTACAGATACTAAGTAATGACGTAACAAAGACTTACAGATACTAAATAATGATGTGACAAAGACTTACAGATACTAAATAATGATGTGACAAAGACTTACAGGTACTAAATAATGATGTAACAAATATTTATAGATACTAAAATAATGATGTAACAAATATTTATAGATACTAAAATAATGATGTAACAAAGATATACAGATACTAAGTGATGTTGCCAGAGAGATTTACAGATACTAAGTGATGTAAAATATTTACAGATACTAGGTGATGATGTAAAAGATTTACAGATACTAAGTAATGACGTAACAAATATTTACAGATACTAGTTGATGATGCTAGAGAGATTTACAGATACTAGGTGATGATGTAAAAGATTTACAGATACTAAGTAATGACGTAACAAATATTTACAGATACTAGTTGATGATGCTAGATAGATTTACAGAT